CCCAAAAAAAAAACCCCTTCAATTCTGCTGATTTTTTTCCCCTTTTTCTTTTTTTCTTCTTCTTTTTCAAGGGTCATGATTTGTGACAGCTCACATTCTGAAAGAAGTCTAGGAAGTCATAGAAAAAGATTGATGTTTGCTTTTCAATCTTTTCCACTTTTCATTTGGTGTTTAATTTTATTTAAAATTTTAGAAAATTTTTCTAGGGCAAAATAAAAGTCAAATGAGGGCAGCAGTTCGTGAATGATTATTCTTCACCAGATTCTAATTTAGAATCAAAATATAGTGCTCTAAATGCAAAAAAAAAAAAAAAAAAAAAAATTAAAATAAAGTCGATCTTTAGATTCCCTCCCTTGTGGCTTGATTGTATTCTGTTTTTTTATTATGGTGAGGACTTACTCTCTGCTATCTGTTATGGTTACGGATCAGAGGTTTGAAGGTGTGACAATATCATTTTTACCTGTTAGTTCCTTGGAGATCTCCCTCCTGAAAGTCTGACATCTATTTGGGGAGTCAGCACGTTCTGTAAATGGGACGACTTAATTTATCTAGTTGGGTTACACGTGTCAAGTTTTTTCATTTAAAAGCATTTTCTTTTTCTTTTCAATGTTTGCTTGTATGTTTCAGGTGGAGAAACCACAAACTGTGGGTCTGTCGTACAACACAAAAGATCAGTGGGAGATCCCCAAAAGTTCACTCAAGCTCATTCGCAAAATTGGTCATGGGCAGTTTGGAGAAGTTTGGGAGGGTCTTTGGAACAACACCACACCAGTGGCTATCAAGACTCTCAAACCAGGTTTGTTCATTTTTTTAACAGTTGGGTTTTTTGTTGTTGCTTATACAGGGCTCCCCTTTACGCACAAATGTGCCTATATTACGCATTAAACCTGCAGATTACCCCCTTTAAGTTTTGGTTGTGCGTGAGCTTTACTCTTTATAATTTCATTTCGGGGGTTTGTATACACTTTAAAACGTAGGTGGTTTTGCATCTGACAAGCATCATTTTCCCTCTTCTCTGTCCCAAAGCCGAGTCAATGATTTGACAACACACCCACACACATGCACCACAATGATTTGACAACACACCCACACACATGCACGACAGTCACGTTCTGTGTCAGAAAAAGTTGACTAGTCGACTTATTTATCAGCTGCATGCAGTTTCCGGCAACACAGGCTTGCTTCAGCACAGAAGCTCCACCCACATTCTGGTCACTCACATTTGCCGGTGTCGAGCCTGCCGTGAGATTACCCCCATCCTTCTGTAACACAATAGTAAACATGAATTGTCTGTCATCGAAAGTGTGGAATGAATGGAATGTGAACCCTGGGATGGCCCTGAAGAAGAATGAATCAGTTTGTGTTTCCAAACCTGCCACTCATCCTTGCCCGAAATCTCAAGCATCCTGATTTTCCCGATTTTGATCGCGCATACCCTGATTTTTGTTTTGTTTTAGTTTTTGTTACCCCGGATTTTTCTAAAATCTTACTCTTACCTTCTTTTCTGTCGTGGGAAACACTCGTTAAACATTTTGTCAGCAGAAACTCGAACACTATTTTCCTAAATGTCTTTGCTCACACGAGTTATTTCTACTATAATGGATTGGAAGTAGATCTAGATCTAGTGTTGATTTGGCATTCCGACTTTAGACATCCTCAAGATCTACCTTCGCCAAAACATGCTTTGTCACTGTTACACATAGCTGTAACCAATTTTCCATTTTCCAAGAATTAAGAGGCCACTTTTTTTCAGTCTTTTTATACAGTAAATTGCATGGATTGGTAGTTCATTCAATTTTCCTGTCCTTCACCTTCTCCATGTATGTTCACACTTATGACTATGTTGACTTTCAGCACTGCTTTTGTGGTTTGCTCCCTCTTTTCTGTCGAACATTTGTCACCCTTATGTTCTTATATACAGTAGGATTGTACATGGGCTGATTCACCAACTGTGCCTGAACCGCAACAGGGGACTGCTGCTGTATCTTTTCTAATCCTTACTTATCGTCATTTTTTCCTCTACTTTTGTATGTTTGTCACACTCTTGTGACCCGCTATTTCCGGGGTGCCTTGATCGTCGAAGCAGACTTAATGCTGTTGAAGCTAGAGAGGCGAGCAGTGTAAGCCTGATTCCCTGTAGGGACCTCTCTGTTGACATCCACCCGTGGGCGCTCATATGACCGTATGAAGTTGCGAGCGCCGTAAAAACTCTACTTAAACTAAAACTAAATACTCTCTTGTAAGACCTCTAATCTTCTCTACTTAATGACCTTATTGTGTTGCAAGTGCAGTAAAACTCGTACTAAAATTGTGGGTGGTTGGTGGGTGCTCTGGTGTGATTTGCTTCTTCTTTCTTATCAAACATCTATCATCCTTGTCTCCCCTCCTTCTTTTTTATGTTTGTTACTCTCTTGTAACACCTCTAATCTTCTGGCGCTCATATAACCTTATGCAGTTGCGATTATGCAGTTGCGATTATGCAGTTGCGAGCGCTGTAAAACCTCGACTAAAACTAAAAAATCTTGCTAAAATTAAAAACATCAGCACTGTTCTCAATATGTGTGTCATCCTTTACTTTATTCTTTTGACCAGTGGGTTATTATTGCCTGGCGCTCAATGTGTGCTTCTTTCCTATCAGACATCTTCTATCATCCTTATCTTTCTTTCTTCTTTTCTTTCTGCGGTACCCTCTTGTAATATATGTAATGTTCAGCACTAATGCAACTCTATTTGAGCTGCTAGGGCCGTAAAACTTTTACTAAAAACTTAA